GTTTTGCATAGTTTTCAACTTGTAAATATTTTATCAATATGTGAATAAATATATTCAAACTTTACCTTGTTTTCATCTGAGTCTCCCTTAATCATATGACACCACCAATTTACCTGAAAATCGTATGTGTTCTTCAAAAAAGTTCTTTGAATACGACACGGTTTCACAGTTTTCCCAAACTTTTGCATCTCCGCGGCCAAACTTGATATAGCGGCGGCAGCACCAGGTTGTAACTACGGGACGCTGGGGGCTGTTGTGGATATTAGGTAAGCACAGTAACAGCACTTGTGATCGCTTCCTTATCATCAGGAACACGATGGCAACACAGCTCAAATCAGCTGCTAGCTCGCCGTGAGCACACATTCATTTTTAGCACGCTGGAAACGCAATACACACAATACAATTCGATGCCTAATATCCCCAGCAGCCCCCAGCGATCCACTAATCCAATAACAAAGTTTGGCCGCGGAGATGCAAAAGTTTGGGAAAACTGTGTGAAACCATGTCGTATTCAAAGAACTTTTTTGAAGAACACATACGATTTACAGGTAAATTGGTGGTGTCATATGATTAAGGGAGATTCTTAGACGAAAACAAGGTAAAGTTTGAATATATTTATTCACATATTGATAAAATATTTACAAGTTGAAAACTATGCAAAACGCTGTTAAAACGATGTCATACTCTTCTCTATTATGTACTCTTGATGTTATGTACCTAAGAGGAACACATTACTTTGCAGTATATTGAGATCAGCATGTATGAAACTGCAGTAAGACCAGTAACACAGTTTAAGTAATCCAATTCAAAGCACCGCAGAGGGAAAAGCAAAGTTACAAAAGTATTGACATTCGCTGACTTACTTAAGGAAGTCTGTGGGAGAAGGCATCTCCACTACGGGAAGTGGCAACGGCTTGTGTGCGACTGCCAACAACTCTTTCACGAAGTCCTGCCACTGGGCTGCAGTGCTGCACACCGCTGACCCTGACACAGTAATGAACACAACCCATCCCACACGTATGAATAACAGCATGGTTGCGTGTTGCAACAGTATTGCCCACCAATCAGCTAATGAGGATAACTTAATAATAATATCAGGGTTTAATAATGACAAATTTGTCAACAATTGTTCAACAATAATGACAAATTTGTCAATAATTGTTCAACAATAATGACAAATTTGTCGTTATTAACCCCTGATAATATTTAAGCTATTTATCTATATAACAAAACTCATTGTTTACTAACGTACTAATAACAACCACCTATTAACATTTCACCTGAATGAAAAATGATTCACAGAATGAAGTTCATAGTTAAGAAAGAGTTGCTACTAGTATGACAGTGAGGATCATTATATGTGTAGGGCGTGTGGGCAACTTTACCTTTCTTGTCTCCCATGTAGACTCCCCACGACTTACGTAGCTCCCACAAGATAAGTGCCTCTTCTCCAAGCTCTGCCTCCCAGCTGGTGGAACGACACCGCTCCACTTCTGTTGTCAACTCCACGATGTCTTCTTCTGCAAGGACTATATCGCAGCAAAATATGAAGCGATAAATACAAATGATCAATACCAAGGAAATCCTGACAGTCTCTCTTAAACTTACATCAGCTACATGTATGGCATGCAGCTGCAGCATGATGAGGCATACCCTTTGAGCATCTACTCAATGAGATATCTCGTGGAACGAGATGCTTGACATTTAGAGCTACACAATTCGAGACACTTCTCTTGTTATACGATTTTGTCAGATATTCGCTGCCCCAAAAATGCACTTAAAATAAGGATTACGTTGAAGGATGCACATAAAATAAAGTTTATAGTAAAATAAAATTAATACTTTTAAACGTGAATGACAACATTTCTCCATTGTTACAATGGTGGTTTTATTTTTCTAATAAAATTATTAAGCTGGTAGGATTCGGATAGAGCAGTCAGATACGCAGTCAAGTAATTATTTATTCAAGGCGAGTTACGTACTTGACCGCTCACGTGAAATAGACACGCCCAGTTTGTAACCTCCCATAGTGAGGTGGTTGTAACGTTGGATAGACTTCAATGCAGAGCCCTTGTCGTGGAATGTGACAAACCTGAATCACACCCGAGAGGCAAAGTGGTAAATGTTGCATTGAAAATATAAGAAAGAATGATTGAAGATAGGTGAACCTTGAGGGTGATAGTGTAACTGTAAGTTAAGCTTGTTACATTAAGAGTGTAAGCCAGGAATGAGTTGCTTTACAAAACACAGAAAATGAATAAGAATTTAAATAACAATATATATAATTATCAAGAGCTAATAAATACCTAGAGTGTACAACTGGAAAACGGGAAAATAGTGCTATTTCACGGCAATATTATTCTACTTTGTATGCAGTTCTAGAGTAAGTTCATGGTATTGCGTTAAGCATCATTCTTTGCTCTCTAAAATAAGACCAACCGCTTGTCTCTACGATACTCCTAGGCCTAGATATTTGAGTGATATCATGCCTCCCACAGGCATCATACCACCTCGCATCCACAATATTCCTTAACCTTCTCGCCTTTTGCGGGTCTGGCTATCGTTTTCCGTCGCCGCTTGGAGCGCTGATAATTTATGTCACATGCCCAAATTTGGTACTCTTACTACACCATATAGTAACTGAGCTGCGTTGTAGAGACTTAATTTAGAAAACATTGCCGGCTCCATCATGACGGGCATTAGCCGTGCTAGGAAAGATAATGGGAGATAAGGGCCTAGGTGATGCCCCCGAAAGTCACCGATGATAACCGAAACGCCGTTCATTCATAAAGTTATCGCGGAAAAAACCGAACTCTCACGAAGCGACTTTCTTAACCCGCAAAAGGCGAGAAGGATAGTGAATATTGTGGATGCGAGGCGCCGTGAGGCCTGTGGGAGGGAAAGTTTACGAGCCAATATCTCAGCCTAGGAGTAACGTATTGACAATCGGTTGGTATTGTTTTAGAAAGCAAAGAATTCTGCTTAATGCAATACCATAAAATTATTTTGACTCGCAGGCAAAGTAGAATAATATTGCCGTGAAATAGCACTATTTTCCCGTTTTTCCGTTGTACACTCTAGGTATTTATTAGTTCTTGATAATTAGTGTACAAACAATATATATATATATATATATTGGAGTGAAATCAGTTGACAGCATGATTTGCTATGAAATACACCAGTACATGAGCTAGTTATCTAGTAAATGCATCTATACACCAATGTAACCCATAAATCCTACACATGCACATCATGGAGAAAGATGGCAGGCTAGTATAGGATAGTCATCTAAGAGTGAACCTACCCAAAAACATATTTGTCTGCGCTTGTTCCTGCAATGTTCACAGAATGCACTGGGCCACATTTCCCAAACATTGCCTTTAACTGTGCCTAAAATGCAAACAAAAAACACACGTCTTTAAAGCACATCAAACACGCATGCACACACACACATGCACAAAACACACACCAAACAAATCAAAACAATTGGGCTTGCAGTGTTCGAAATAAGGGCTATCCGTTTGTCCGCACTTGTCCATTTCCACGGAGGACAAGTAGACCTGTCCAGTAGCTTATCCGCTGGACAAGCAGCTTTTTAGAGCAACTTTTTCATCATTTTCTACCATTGCTGGTCAGAAAGTCAGACTCAGGACTCACCATGTATTGTTATTATAAAACTGTGAAGCTTCAACTTTGTTAAGACAAATAATAACTTGTCAAAATAAATAATAATTGTGCTTCTATGTTCTTTCAAGCTTGGTGCCTAATTTGAACTTTTAGAATAAACTGCATTAAAATTACAAAGTAAGATATTGGGTCTAAAATTTAATTTGATTAAAAATGTATTACATAATTACTATATTTCTATGTTATTAATCAGGACAAGCAAAACTTTTGCGGGACAAGCAAAAATATCTTGTAGCTTGTCCGTAAGACAAGCAAAATTTTTTCCCTTATTTCGAACACTGGCCTGGTACCTTCCACATACCGCAGTCATCTGAGGAGGCATTGGTCCTACATACACGGTATATATCCTAGCGGCATAGTTTGAGTCTGTAATGGAAACCTCACATTTACACTATAATCACAAAAATTCTTAATATTTATAACAAACGAATTGCCCAACTGCAACTTCTTTACACATAAAACCAAACCACACGGTGGACAGTGGACACACAACGCTGAACTTTCAGCAGACTACTAAAGTATTTCTCATGTCACTGCATGCCGTAGACAGTTTGCTAAGAGCCTCAAGTTTTCTGCTTTATAAATGTTAAATTCTGCTTTCTTCTGCTTTCTAAATTTCACGAAAAGCTTAGAAAAGCCTTAATTTCTTTTATTTGTATGCAAGAGATGAAAAACCGGTTGAACGCGTTGAATGCGAGCGTTCAGCCGGGCGTATGGGATCACGAGCGAAATACGCTGCCGTGAGACGCACGCCCGCCCGACCCGCGCACACCGCGCGGACCCGGCACCATATTTATCGATCCCAAGCGGCCAGCGTAGAAAATCGCACAGTGTGTCCTAGGCTCCTAGTCCGTTAATTGTTACATCTTTTTTCAAGACTGAGTTTTCCGCTTTCTCCTCCCGTTCCGCGATTTCCGCGGAAAACTTCGGGGACTAAGTTTGCCCCTTATCCTCAACCTTGTCATACCTGCAGCACCAATGACAGCAGCCATTGTATCATGTGCTATCTCCACTCTGATCCTGCTGCTACCGATTCTCCAGTTATGAAGCTCGCGCACCGCCTGGAGAACAGACTCTACACGGGTGAACACTACAAAGCCGAACGTGTATTCATGCCGTGGCAGTGGGGGATCCAAAATTGCGACACGCTCGATGGCACCACAGCCCGCGAACAGGTCATGAAGATCTTTCTGCAGAAGAGAAAATGGACGTGTCCAGTAGCAGCGCACTAAAACAGGTAACAAGCAGCACAGTGCACTGCTGTCGTGGCCTGGCATGTGTCTGGTGTTGCGGCATATTCGCGCCTGTGGTGCATAGTGGAAACTGCTCGTGTATGCCACGAGTCACCTTCAGCGAAACTGATGCAGATATGCACAACCACGTGTTATTCTGATATATTGACAAAATACACACACAAACAAGTTGCGCGAGAGCGACATCGCTCAGTCTAACGTCGTGACTGCGGTGACTCAGAGGCCTGTGGCTGGAGTGTGCGGATTCTAGTAACCCTGTTAGAGTCCCAAATGTGTTCACATACACGCCCAAACGTGGAAGCACAGGCCGCATTGTATTCAGAACCTTCTCAAAGGAATGTCTTGGATCTTATGAAAGTTGCACAGACAGATGACGCGCTACGTGTTCGTGCTCTTCAATGAAAGATGGAAGCTTGCTCATCCGTACTAGTCAGCAACACTATTTGCAAGACAAAAGCGTAAGCACTTATCCATTAACCTACGCAAGCCCTACAGCCTGGCAAATTGCCCACATAGAGACGCTGCCACCGTGTAACCACTGATAACCAGGAAAAACTGACACAAGTATATCACCAACACAATGCACTGGCAGTAGCCACTCGCAGATGGCAATAACGTACATTAACATAGCTGACCAGTACAGATGCCACTAGAAATTATAGGATTTAAGGACATAACTTCTTAACCCAATTTAGCTTTTGAAATTTCACTGTGACATTGTAGCTCAATACATCAGCATGTATGATTTTACTAGCAGAACCCGCAAGTCAAATTCTTTTTAACAGACAGTCAACACAAATCCATGGGTTAACCTCCTCTTGAGGCGTCAAAAAGTTATTGGACACTTGTCTCTTCGATGTCAGCAGAAAAGTATATTTCATGAGTGCCTCCTTCAATAATGACCATAAAATGCATAGGTCACGCTGATAACAACAAAGGTTTTTCAATCGCTCCGTCACGACCCATTCCTCATAAAAATGTCTAAAATCTGCCCTGTGCCATTGACCTGTTGACCTGTAGACTCCATTTCCGACACCGTGATTGCTTTTTCTACCATGATGCTATACACCAACTATCACGAGCTATACGCGAGCTCTTTAGCATTTGTGCACGCATTCCAGCCATTCCTCCTATATACCTAATTAAGATGTGAATGGTTCCCTCTTTTCACACATCTTGACCTTGACCTTGACCCAGCTTTGACATCCAACTCGTTTTGCACGCAGGTCCCCCCCAATGCATGCCGTAATATCCTGACATCGTGAGCCGGTTAAATTGTGCCCAAAACTGTTGACAGCACGAGACGCGCTACGAGACACAGGCGTACGCGACAGGACGAATCATGCGATTCTACAAGCTGCATCTGACTATGTTCAAGAGCTACAAAAAGTAATCAACAATTAATATTTAAAATATAATGTGATGATTACAAGTCCTATACTGATTTAAACTCATAACAATTATCACTAAATAAACATCCCAATCAAGCCATCAAATTTTCTGCTCTCGTCTGTCGTACGATCAATCCTGAATGCCCAAAGATACGCAACGTTGTGTCCTATAACACGTTATAATATCAGCACTCTCCTGAAAAACTTGGTGTGTATGCATGTCTAAAGCTGTTCGTTTGCTACTTGATTTGATAAAGCTATTTACGCTAATTCTGCTCCTTACTTATATAATAGTATTTATTAAGTGTTCTATCTATGTTAGTAATCATATAACTATTAAAGATGCCCCTTCACACGCACATTTTTTGGTGAAAACCATGCTAAAACACCAAACTAACAACTAACACACGGCTTATCATTACTTTAATATACTGCTATGCCCTACTGCTAGAAAGAATTGTCATTCCCCCGATTTTATGTTAGACGAGCTATCCTTTTTTACTTCGGTGTTCCCAAATCCTAAATATCCACTTTTACACCAACATCTCATCACCATGGATATAACCTGGAATGTCTGGACAAGCTGCCACAAAACTGCTGAATCTTTATGCGTCGCATCAGTTAAGACTAGAACTTATTCGGGCTGATTGGAGAAAGTACAGAAGCACTTGTTCATTTCCACTTTCATTAGTCTCTGAAAACGAAATGGCAATGGTAAATATTAAATAGATGTTAACTCATTACCCAATACAAGACATGATTATTGGAAGATAAACTTTCCAATAAATTAGATCAAGTATGTCACCAAACGAGTTTCGATTACCCATTGCAGTCAACAGCTAATAGTTAAATTAATGAACCATCACGGGAATTATTATACAAAATCAGTGCGATAGCGTTCGTTAAGATTACGCTATTATTACGTACATATTCGATTTTGTGGATTATAATTACTATGTAGTTATGAGTATGTATGTAGGTATATTATGATGTTGTTAAAAGGTTTCGTATTGGAAACCTGATTTCACCGGAAAATAGCTTCTATGATCAAACGCGGCTACAAATGTGTAGATAATAAATGGGGAATTTGAACCTAAAAGTTTTCATAGATAGCTAAACCTTATGGATCGAAACAAATATTAGTGACATCGATAATCATACTAGTTAGACCTAATCACCACATCGACATAATACGGTTGTCGTATTGTCCAGGGACCAAGTGGAGGTCTAATGTCGCGACAAAACTTATCTCTTGCGCTAATTGCCTGATCGGACAACAAAGAATTTCCTATTGTGTAAAAAATATCCTAACATCCGTTGTGAGCCAGGCGGCCTATCGCCACGGCATTTCTCACGTATATATTTTAGAATAGTCACACGAAAAAAAACACACTCCGGCCACACCCCGGTTTCGTCGACAGCCTGCTGCTGCGAGCAAGCGATTGCATTGCACAGTACCCGGTGGGATGGGGGCGAATGCAACGATTTTTCAGTCGTTGGCCTGCTCAATTAATGCAATATGTAGCGGCGCGGAGTGGGGGCACCCGCTGGTATAGAGACTGAGAGTCAGAGAGGACCGACATCACAAACTCTTTCACTTGAAGATTGATATCAAAAAAAGCTGCAACGCGGCATACGCGCAAGACAGTATTAACGCCAAAAAACGTGTGCTGTGGCTTCTTGCTTATCCCTGAAATTGCCATAGTATGTTCCTATAGCCCTGCCGGGGACGTAGGCTAAAGTTCTAAAGAGCTATATCGCGAGGTACGCTGGCGCGAGAGGGACATAGACCCTATCACTATACTATCAGCAAATTACAGGACGGACACTCGATATTACGTCATTTAGCCCGACCAGCGCTGTGCCACCGATCTGTCATATACAGCCCCCTGACACCTTCCATACAAAAAACCTATCACCTCTGCAGAGAAG